CAGCAAGTTCCCGGTGCTTAGCTATCCCTCCTGGCTGCGGCAAGTCGGCGAAGGAAGGGCGAGGAGTCAGGGAAGCAGGCAAGGAGCAGGACAGACCCCACCCTGCTGCAGGGAAGCAGTGCCTGCCTGGCCCTGAAACCATACCTTGGCCCCGCAGTCCGCTCCCTTCTCCAAGCAGAAGCCAATGAACCTTGGGTCAGCCACCTTCACCAGGATGTTGTCCACGCAGTAGACGTGGACACTCTGCACGCCCCTCCGCTCCATGTCGTCCACGATGCCGTGCACCCCCAGGGCCCGATACAGGCCCCCGTTGCCATCTGCAGAGGGAACAAACCATTGGGGCCGCAGCAACACTTGGCCGCCCTGTCAGCCGCCCACACTCATCCTCCTTCCCCACAGAGCAAGGGTGGAGGGTCGCCAGCCTGGCCATACCCCACCCTCGTCCTCCCCGCCAAGACAGACACCTCCCAGCCTGCATCACCCGTGGGCCACGTCACGCTGTGAGACTGCCCTGCGCAGGCTCCAGCTCCAAAAGCTTGTCCTCAGCACCGTGTCTCGCCCCCCGTGCAGCCCTCCCGCCAGCTCCTGGCCACCAACCTGGGGCCATAGCAATCTTGCCCTTCTCCTCCAGCAGGATTTTCCCATCAAAGCCCAGGGCGGGCAGCATGCCCTGCTGGAAGAAGATGACATTTTCCTTCTTCAAACCAAAATAGTTATGCTTCAGGAAGAACTCCTTGGTGGACTCCATAGTCCGGCCACTCGTCATGATGTACCTGTCGCAGCGCAGAAGAGACCCGATGAGCAGGGAGGAGAGGCAGGGTCTCACACCCCTCGTCCCAAACATGGGGAACTGCTTCAGCCTGTAACACCCACGACAGGCTTCTTCTGCCCCACAAACATTTGGAAGGATCTGACCCTCTGCGGTCCCATCTCTTCGGCAAGCCAAAGAAGAGCTTCACCCCTCCTCGCGACACGCATCTCCAAAACCCAACTGCACCCCGTGCGGCAGGGGGGGTAGACCCAGCTGCAGCAGCCAGCTCCCACCATGACACCAACCTCCTGCTCACCGCAGCCCCTCGCCTCCCAGACCACTGCCTTGCGTGGCTGCCATCCCACGCAGCGGGCTGGCCACAGGTGACGTGACACACGTTCCCAAGGGCCGTGGGGTTGAGCTCAACAACGTGGGACCTGCCAGTGCCACCCTCTGGGCCTCGACCCACTGACTCCAACAGGCTACGTACGCCCACAGCAATAGCGCTGGCGTCAAGAGGGTCTGCGCCAAACCGTGGGCCCTGGGGCTGCCAAGGGGGTCCGCACCAACCCACGGCTCCTCGGCCTGCTGACGCCAACGGGGCCCGTGCCGACCCGCCAGACCTTGACCCACCAAGGCCGCGCAACGGGGCTTTGACCCGGCCGATGGAACGCCGCCGACCCACGGGCCCTCGGCCCTCCGCCGGCAGTTGGGGCGATGCCGACGGCACCCCACGAGCCTCGTCCCGCCGAGGCTACCCCCGGGGGACGGACGGACGGACACGCTGACCCACCGAGGCTCACCAGGGGATGTGGCAGGGGGTGCCGTGCTGCTCCTCCGCCAGCTGCTGCAGCCGCCGCAGGCGCTCGGCCTGGAGGTGGAAGAGGGTCTTGCGGGAGGGCAGCCCCACGTCGCACATGCCCTTGGGGTAGGGGACGCCGAGGCGGGTGCCCTGCCCGCCGGCCAGCAGCAGCGCGGCCACGCGGCTCCCCGCGATCTCCGCCAGCCCTGCGCCCGGGGAGAGCACACAGGCGT